TTATGCCCTCATGAATTCTGCTTTATGCCTAGATCATATGGTTGTGACATAGTTGAGACTGTCTCAGTCTTATAGCAAAATTTTTCATCATAGAACTAATAGATCAAAGCTAATTGGCCCCTAAGGGATTTCTTTTTCACAGCTAAATTATCTGGCAAAATCTTGTGGTATCTATTTTTTTAATAAAACAAATCTTTATAGATGCTCATTTGAGATAACCAAAATACAATGACACATTTTATGGAATTTTATATTTTAAAATTAGTTTAAACTTGTGTAAACTGATTCCCTCCTATGTGTATATTCAATATGTATACATTATATTACTGTTGATAGCTTTTTCCCTTCTGCAGTTAACTTAAATACTTTATGTATGCTTTATCCATTTGACTGCATGTTAGATGCTGTGGAAACTACAAGAAAAGTCTGATCTTTCTTCTTTTAATCTGTTCTACCACCTGCCTGTCTATTTGCAGCCACCCTGCTTTGTGTCAAACACCTAATCAATTTTTAAAAAGACAAAAAATAAAACTATTTTTTCTGTCTTTCATTATTTTCCCCATACACGTGCAAATCACTTACTTGTGTATGAACGTTATTCTTTTGTTATTGTTTTGTAATTATGAGAATATACTGCATGTACACCTTACTACCTTTCATTTTTCTCAATATGTTATGGAATTCCCACAATGATCATACTTCTAATGCATTATTTTTACTGACTGATTAATCTTCCATTGTCTAACTGGGCCACATTTATTCAACAGATTTAATAATGCACCCTTATATAACTTTAAATTTTTTTGCATCCACAAATAATGCCACAATTCTTACAGATGCTATTCATATATCCTGAATTTCTATTTCTATGAGAAGCATTACCCTGACAAGGAATCTGGATGAAATGATATGTTTTATGTAAATACATATTTCTGGCTTGCTTCCCTCCCCCCAAAACAAGTTAAAATAATTCACATTTCTACCTTATATCAATGCCATGCACCCCAAATTTGAAAGAGCAAGGAATATTACCCTATTTGATCTTGTCCATCTAGCTGTGGAGAAATTGCATTTTATTCTTACCTGCGTTTGCATTTTGCAAGATACATGGAAGGTTGAGCATAATTTTCTTTTTTTAATTTCCTCTTTGGACTTGCATGTATGAAAGTTGAGTAAGCATACCTTTTACTCATTTTGCTATTTGATAGATGTTCTTTTATGTTATAATAGCCCTCTGTATTTAATGACATTAATACTTTATCTTAAATTGATTTACAAATATTCCAATCTTCCACTTGTTTTTTGAGTTTGTGTTATATTTTTGCATTCATTGATTTATTCATGTATTTATTCCTTTATTCAATCATATTGAGCAGTCAAAGGTATCTACAGATTCCTTTATAGTTTGAGTCTTACTGACTTACTTAAAACGGCCTTGACACCTGACAAGAATGTTCCAACAGTGAAGAGGCAGCCAGAGTGCCTGGGAAGGAACTGACCAAGGGTGGATTAGCAGATGAGAGTATTTCCACAATTAATTTTTGTGTTTCTCATCTGTAAAGTACCGCATGAATTTGGGACATATTTTAGTAGAAAGTGTGTCTCCATCTTCTTGATTTGTATTGTTTGCCTTCCTTCCTTCCTCCTTTCCTTCCTTCCTTCCTTCCTTCCTTCCTTCCTTCCTTCCTTCCTTCCTTCCTTCCTTCCTTCCTTCCCTCCCTCCCTCCCTCCTTCCTTCCTTTCTTCCTTCCTCTCTCCTTCCTTCCTCTCTCCTTCCTTCCTCTCTCCTTTCCTCCTTCCTTCCTTCTTTCTTTTTTCTTTCATCTTTCACTCTTCAGTGTATTTTGATGAATAGAAGTTCTTAAATTAAATTCAATCTAATTTGACTACTTTTCTTACAACCTGACTTTTAATACTTTCATTCCATGTGATCCTAAAATTTTCTGTATCTTAACCCAAGGTTTTTATAGTTTTTTCTTTCCTGCGTAAATCTGAAATCTACTTGAAATACAGATTTGAGCATAATATATAAGGCACAGGAACATTTTCACGTTTTTTCCTCTTTGTGGATAAGTAATTGCCAGGTGTCGCTTACTGAAAAATATTTAATTTCACCTAACTACCGTTTTTGCATGGGTATATTTCTTGGCTTTCTGTAATCTAAATTGGCTCTGGCCTTGTCTTCTCGCCACTGAAATTTACAAAGTAATAAAAGTTAAAGTTCACGTTTTTTAATTCAGCAAATGTCTTCAATGCAAAACCAGCTTTGATGTCTGGGGTTTCAGTTTTTATCTTATTTTTAGCTGCTATTTTTCATCTTTTTAAAATGATGCTTAATTTTATTTAGTATTTAATTGACAGATAAAATTGTATATATTTTTCAGGTACAACAGGATTTTTTGAAGCGTGGGATAGTTAAATCTATCTAATTACTTCACATAATTATCATTTTTTGTGGAAAGAACACTTAACATCCACTCTCAGCAGTTTTCAAGCCTTATTCCACTTCTTCTAATGCACTTATGAAGACATTTTATATATTTTCATATATTTCATCCAGCATGATTGTCCATAGTGAGGCCAATGCTGATACCTGGTACTTGCACCCAAGGAAACAAATGCTATTTTATTTCACATGTATAAAGAATTAATGAGAATAGAATTTACTCTTCTGGAAGAAGACAAATAGAAATTCATATTTATTTTCTTTAAGATGGCTTTGCAGTGTCATAAAATAAAATACTGTGTTAGCTATATAATTAAATGCCTCCTCTCTCCCCTACACACTACGTACACACACAAACATGCAAACACCCACCTAAACATATGGCATCTATTTCTTGTCTTACTGTCTAATTCACTGTCTGTTCTTGGCATGTAAGACCATATTGTTTATTTTTTAATGTCAAGTAAGACAAATCCAACCTCATTAATCTTCTTCAAAATTTTCTGGATATTTTTGGATATATCTTCTTTCATATTCACTGTAAACTAATGTCCAATTGCCAAAACAACAAAAATAAGAACAAATGCAATAAGAACAAAACCCTTAGGATACTTCTTCTAAGTGTACTAAATTAATATATTGATTTTGTAACAGTTGACGTTTTTATATTATGACATCCCAATCAATAATATAATATTTCTGAAGATCATGTTTTATATGCTCCAATGAGGTACTATAATATTATTCAATTAGAGTTTATTTACTTTTACGTTAAACTTATTCTTAAATATTTCATTATTTTTTCTTTTATTTTGAGCTAGCTATTTCCAGCTAGTTAATACTAGTACAACTCTTTAACACCACTACAGCTAATGATTTTGGGGGTATTATGCTCTGTCACTTTATCACAACTACTTATTAATTCTGTTAATCTTTACTAGAGTCTTCTGGCTTTTCTAGGTACTCATTAATACAATTTATCCTTAGAGTATTAGTCTTTTTTCTAATATTTATTGAAATAAATTTTGATCTCAATTTATTTTGTATACTTCATACAACAATGGTGTATGAAATTACTTTGAAAATGGTGACGGTATTACTTTCTTAATTATCATTTCCCAGTTTTGAAAGATGCTTGCTGTTATATTTTGCGAAATGATTTTCACCATACTCAAAAAGTATCTTTATATTTATAGCTCACTTGAGATTTAGTTAACAATAACCGGCATATATTGTTATAAATATGTAGTTTATATATTTTAATTTACGTGATACAATTAAATATATAATATATTTTATGATATTGAAGCACACTAGTCAACCAAAATTACAATATTGTATTCTGTTATTTTCCTGCTTGAATTGAGTTTTCTTATATTCGATTTGGACTTTGAGATATACATCCTCTAGGAAGACTGGGCTATATCTTTCCTTTATTTTTTATTCTTTACAGGCTTTCCTATTAAAACTATACTTCTAAAAATAAATTAGGGTTTTTTTTTCTCTTTTCCCAGTATCTAGAATTTTTAAATTATCATTTAGTTGTTGTTAAGGGTAGATATAGCTCAACAGTAAACTCGTGTTAAATGCTAGGCCTTTAGTCAATTTTTCAGTTATTTCTATATATTATTTTCTATTCAGTAGTTCTTCGTGGATTCCTTATAATAATTTATAGCCTTCCAGTTAACAGTTTTCTAATTAATTTTCCTTGAGTAATATCTAATATTTTTGTATTATTCTATATATTCTGTATCTATGGTTTTGCTTCATTTTTCATTTCAAATGTTCCATATACTTTCCTATATATGTAAACATATTTGTTATTGATAATCTACTATAATTAAATATTTTAATTGCATTTTTTTCTTTCCTAGACTGTTTAATGTTACCAGATATTCTAGTAAATTTTGGCTCAATTTCTTATGCAAATTTAAATTGATATTTCTGGAAGTTTAGCATATATAAACAAATATTGAGTTTGATGTTTTTTAAAATGCATTTATTTTACTTGCTTTTACAACAATTTTAACTGCTTATATTGAGAAAAAAATTAAAGAAATATTGTACAAATGGGTGATGTAGAAATTGTTAAAATAGGGACTTACAAAACTGAGGTCCACATGATCCACTCAGTTAGAAAGAAAAAACAAATGTATATTTGTTACACAGGAAAACAAACTACTACTAATAGATTGTTCAATCAAATATCAGGTGAGAATCTGTACTGTTGGCCTCAATATTTGCATTTCTGCTTTGTCTAAATAGTTGCTTCTATAATTTCTGGCAATGTGTTTGTTCTCATAGACTTTTATTTTGTGCTTGGAAGTTGAGCAAACATTGACATGTCTTATTTACTAGAGATTATAAACATATGTTGTGGGTTGAATTGTGTCCCCTCAAAAGACACGTTCAAGTCCTAAACCCCAGGATCTGTGAACCTTATTTAGAAATAAGGTCTTTGCAGATGGACTCAAGTTAAGATGAGGTCATGCTGAGTTAGGGTGAGCCCTAATCCAGTTTGACTGGTGTCCTCATAAGAAGAGTAAAACAGTACCTGAATACAGAGACACACAGGCAGAGTCAGTGCGATGACAGAGGCAGAGACTGAAGTGGTACAGGTGTAAGCCAAGAACCACCAAGTGCTGCCAGCAGCCACAGAAGCCAGGAGAGAGGCAGGGAAGAGACTCTCGCTCAGAGCTTTCCGAAGACACCGAGATTGCTGATGCCTGTATTTTGATCCTCTAGCATCCTGACCTGTGAGAGAATAAATTTCTGTTGTTTCAAGCCATCTAGTTTGTGGTAATTTATGAAGGCAGTCCTGGGAAATAAATTCACCACTATATAAATTCTAGAGTTATAGAACCAAAGGAAAGCACATACTTCAAATTTCATGAGGAGAAGAATGGTATCTGTCTTGTTTATCGCACATCGTTAGCACCTTGCACACAATATGTGATTAATAAATATATTTAGGAAAGTGAATATGAATATAGAGTATTGCTGCATGCTACTTTTATGGAAAAACAGCTGAGTTGGACAGAAAAGAAAAACTTCTTCAAACAGTTGAATATAGATAAATAAAGATTAAATAATAAAATATATACAATAATACTAATAATGATGTTATAAAATAATATATTGGGTCAGAGGAAGCATCTTGGAAGAAATTAATCTTGAACTTTTATTAAAAACATTTCATTTACTTATATTTTTAACAAATTATTTATTATGTGTCCCCTGAATGTAATATAATGATGAATATGGCTAAAGAGGAGATAGAGTGAAATCAGCAGGCAAAAAAAAATAAAAGAGAAACAAATAGTGCAGATAATGGGAGCAACACAAAGCCCATTACGGCCACAACAGAAGAACTCAGAAGGAAATCTTTGTGAAACAGGTTAATATTGGCCCTGAATACCGTATAAGAACAAAAAGACAGTCATTTGTGTTCTCTCTTCTGATATTTTAGAGTAGAGAATATGAAGTGCACAATATATATATTTTTTTAAAAAAAGGAAAAGCGTCTCAAGACTTTTTGCTGGAAATATAAATGAAACAGAAAGCATACACACAACTGAGAGAGTTAGTGTCATTGATGATACCAACGATACTGAGAAGATTAGCAATTTGCAGTGGTGATGGGTAGGAAGGAGTGGGTGCTAAATTTAGTTTTACATGTCCATATGCAAGCACTAACAAGTTAGAAATCTGGTAGACCCTACACTGATTTTTTTATTGTTGCTGCAGATACTTACTGCAAACTTAGAAGCTTAAAATAGCAAAAATGAGGCCGGGCGCGGTAGCTCACGCCTGTAATCCCAGCACTTTGGGAGGCCGAGGCGGGCAGAACACGAGGTCAGGAGATCGAGACCATCCTGGCTAACACGGTGAAACCCCGTCTCTACTAAAAATACAAAAAAATTAGCCGGGCGTGGTGGCGGCGCCTGTAGTCCCAGCTACTCAGGAGGCTGAGGCAGGAGAATGGCGGGAACCCGGGAGGCGGAGCTTGCAGTGAGCTGAGATCGCACCACTGCACTCCAGCCTGGGCGACAGAGCGAGACTATGTCTCTAAATAAACAAACAAATAAATAAATAAATAACAAAAATGTATTAGCCTATAGGTCTGGAGATCAAAAATCTTAAATGAGTCTTATAGGACTAAAATCAAGAATACACATGGCTGATTCCTTCTGGAGGCTGTAGGGAAGGAGTCTGTTCCAAGACTGTTACAGCCTCCAGAGGCTGCCTGCTTGACTTGGTTCATAGCTCCTTCCTTGTCTCACTTCAAACTTCTGCTTCTTTTTTATGTCACATGACCTACTATGAACTTTGCTACTGTCTTATAAGAAAAATTTTAATTACATCAGACAAATCCGATGAACTAGATTAATCTCACGACTGCGTGATTCCTAGCTTAATCACATTTCTAAAGTCCCTTTTACCATGTAAGGGATCATTTATGGGTCCTGGACATATCTGTTGGTCCTTTATTCAGCACACCATTGAGCCCAGCAGACAGTTCTTAGGATGAGATTGGAAAAGGGAGAGAATTCCTAACTAAAGCTATTTGTTGGTACAGATTTTTAAAAAGCATGTAGCTCCACAAAGAGCTACAAAATGTTTCGGCCTATAGAAGAAAATACAGAAAATGGCTACATCCTATCTGCCAATATTTAAATCCTACTTAGAGTTCTTACTAGTTGTGTTACTTTTAGAAATTCACTAATATACATAGATTCCAAGGCAAAAATTGTTAACTCTTACTTCCAGCAGCCTCTCTGATTTTATAAGTATTTCTTGAACTGACTAACTGTAAGATAATCGTTCAGCACACGGCTATATGGCTGTAATCTGAATGTACACAGCAATACAAGCTTAAGAATATTAGATGGAAATAAACATAAAAGAAGAAGCCCAAAGGGAGAACTGCTTTCATGCGACTCTGGCCCTCTTCCTTGTCATGCGCTATTACATCGAATGACATTCATCAAGCTGGGACGCAGCAGGCACTGTTTGACAGCTCCATCTTAGTGTCCTCTGATAGCTACTCAAAAACCTAGTTCTGAAAATGCACTTCCTGATTATTCTTAGACTTCATCTGCATGCACCCATGTAAACTGCCACTGTTCTGGTTTTAAAGGCCATTATTTCCTACCTAGGCTATGGGAAGCACTCTCACATCAATTCTAGCTTAGGCAGGCTGAGCTTTTGAACATTTTGAACGTCTTCAAAGTTTTGAAAGTCTTACCAATGCCTCCCTACATAGTTACTTGCATTACTCTTCAGTGTAAAGGCCAAAATATTGGATATCTCCTAAAGGATCTGATTCCAGACTGTACTATGGGCATCATCACATACATTATCTTCATTCTCCCTGCTCCAAAACACAGGGCATTTCAGGTCCTTGGCTTTCTGGATTCCATGTTCTCTTCCTGGATTGACCTTCCTTCCTCCTTCTCTGGTTAATTCCTCTTCTTTCCTTATAACTTAACTCAATGATTACTCCTCGAGAATCTGGTCCTTCATCTTCCCAAAGTAGGCAATATAACGTTAAAGTATCATGCATTCTCACTTGTAGCATTACTGATGGTTCAGTGATCTATCGTGTAATTAACGGTTTCATGAATTACACAAATATTAGGCTGAAACTTCCCTTACTGTAGAAACTGTCAATATTTTATCTCAGAATTTTGTTTCCAGTGTCTTAGGCATATTTGATAAGTGAATTTTTTTGAAAGACTAAATAGCTCGAAGAATAAGTAAAGCACTCTAAGTGGAGTGAGATAAGTAAAACATTTCTAGTCAGAGTAAGAACTGCCATTTCAAGCTAGTGCAAGGGTCAGATAAACTTAATTAAAAATAAAGAAAGGAGAAATCTTGTTCATAGACACATACCACAGAACGCGGAAGTGAATCTGAAGCGTATGGCAGAGGAATAAAGGTGAGTGAGTATAGATTTTATTCATGTTTGTCAGTGTATGAATTTCAGCATCCCAGCTTGGAAAATCACCTGAACAGTTTCTGTTCTGGAGATTTATCTATTTAGCTGATAATTTTTATCACAGTATCCTGGAAAACTAAGGGCTCAAACTGTAAAAAAAAATTGAAGTCTTTGCACAATCTTTCATTTAAGATAAGGCAATTGAGAACCAAAACATGACATATTTGATGAAGGAAAGTGGCCATGTAGTGGCAAGGGTAGATATACCTTAAATGCGATGTTAACACCTCTTTAAAGACTTTGAGAATCTTTAAGACTCGATCAAATTACAAAATTAATGGCTTATAAACCTATTATTCAGATAAATGAAATGTCTACTAGCACATTTAAAGCATTTATTACCTGATATCTGCTGAGCTTATTCACCAAAGGAACAGTTGAATGCATTTCTAATCGACTAAAAATTCAAATGCTAAATGATCATTTGATCCATTAAAAAAAAAAGTAACAAGCTTTCCAAATGTACCGATATTGGTTAACTTAGAATCCAGCCAGGAAAACACTAGGAGGACTTGCTGCTAACTTTCCTTTGCTTATATTTTTAGTAGTTACATTTAAATGTATAAAATCAAATATATTTAAATGTTTTAAAGAGTTCTATCTTTTTAAAAATAGCAGTTTATCTAAATCTTAGCAGGGTGGATTAATGAAAAACTTAAAGACATACTATTTTTTATTATCATTTTTTGCTAAATATATTTTCAGAGGCATGATTTGGAAGTAGTATTAATTAGTAAATCAATTGTCAGTGTCAAAGAAATAAATACAGAAAGAGAGAGAGAAAGAGAAAAATCTACCAATATTTTAAGTTTTAATTGGCAAAAAATGTGAAGTATTAAAAGTATCAAAATGTGAAATAAAACATAATGATGCTTCCTGTATTAAACTATATAGCCCTAGGATAAAATTTTAATTTTACAATTTGAACTTAAATCCCAATTTTAGTCTGTGATTTATGATAATAATTATAACAATCACTATCCCCTTTAAAATTTTTTATACAAAAAGCCTAGTGTTATAGTGAACAAATTGTAGTATTTTTTACTTTTATTCTTCTAAGATAATGAAGGTAGAAATGAAGTGCAAAAAAACTGAAATAATTTACAAAGGACATAAATATGTTAAATTAGTAAGAGTGAAGAAAATCATTTTATATACTTTATATTTGTAATAAAGAACCAAAAGTTAGTTAGCTAGCTTTCAAAGTTTGTATTTTTTATAAACTTATATTATAAATAAAATATACAAAGATAGTTGCAACATAAGTTTTAAAACCAGTATATTTTGACATGAAAAATGTACATATCAAAGTTAAGAATACATACTCCTTATCAAGTCAAAAATATTTCTGTTAAACTGAAGAGTTTCATTCCTAAAGAAGCTGCAATTCAATAGTGATTAAAAAGAATAAATTATTTCCATGATATATTCATTCAATATAATGTTCACTTTCAAAAAACATGGATACTCCAGTAAAACTGTCAAATAAAGCAGGCCTGGGAAAGTTGAGGTCTTCAGTTGTATATGTTTTATGTGATCATAATCACTTAATAGATTGATGTGGGATATAATGAATCTAGGTGCTAAACATGGCCATGCTTTTAGGATTTTAGAATCATAAACTTGGTTTCTTTATCTGGCAGGTATTTTTCCCTGATTTTCACATTCTTTATTGAAATAATTTAGGACAAAAACAGAAATCTTGCTCAACCATATTTTTTCTTCTAAACTACACAGGAAGACTTAGTTGGTTTTTTAAAAAACATAATAATAAACTTTTCTGAGCAAATTGTTGCAGAGGAAAATCTTATTACTCTGCATCTCTCTGCTTACGACTTCAAATATCAGGTGCATAATAAACTTGAAGGTCAGTTCTGACAAAATATTTGCAAATATGGTTTAGATGTTACCTTTCCTACTTCATATTTGCATAATAAAAAGAGTTTTGAAGATTGAAAAGCTTTTTATTCATTCACCACATTAAATATCCATTGCCTGATAATTTTTTTATAAAATACTATTCTGATTTCTCCCTCATTCGAAGGGTTGCCTTTTTTAACAGGGTGAGTGGCAAGCTCTATGGTTACATTCAAGAGCTTTCACTGTTTGTCCCCACCCACATGATCTGCGTGTAGCCTCTTGCTGACATTTGCTCACGATAATCTTTCAGTTCCCTAAATTGCTATTCTTGGATTCAACTCTTGGCTGAATCTGTACCCTCTGGTAGAAGTTTTTTGACTCTTGATTTTGATTTTCATGTGCCACATTAATTTAAACTGTAAAATATAACTCAAATTTCTAGAGAGCCTTCACTGAATCATTGCCCCATCAATGCTCCAGTCTGGCTTTTGTGTCCCTGATCAATGTTCCCATCATATCCTGGGGGTGTCTCCTGCAATTAGATACAGTTTCATGTTCAGCCCAGTGCCTAGTACAATTTCAAAAACATTGTGTTCTCAATAAACCTTTGAAATTAAGTAAATAAGTAATGCATACTACTTTATGCAAACCATGATACCAGTAGCTATAAAACTATAAGTCAAATTATTTTACATATAAAAATAATTTCACATATTTATATGTATGTGTCTAGATATATGTATGTGATAATTCAATCAAGTGCTTATTAAATAACTGAAAGAAATGTTACTAACAATTAACACAGAGTAGACAATCATAATTAGCATAAGAAACTGAAATGGAATGAGTATTCCCAGATTCACTCAATACACACAAAAATGAATCTTTAGTAAAGAGATTTAGACGTCTTCACAAACTAGTGCAGAAAACAGTTATTATGGTTGAGATCTTAACATACTGCCTCAGTGCACTGAATTCATTTTCAATTAAATGTGGGTGCCCTTGGCCTCTCTCCACAGAGGGATAAACACATTCTGAAGTTTAATTGCATATACATGTATAATATATATGTGCAATTGCATATACGTGTGTGTGTGTATAGGGCATATATATATGTGTGTGTATGTGTGTGTATAGTGTATAGGCTTAAAACACATTAGATATCAATTTTCAATCTAACTGTAAAATCCTTGAAGACCAATGTGGACAAGTGTTGTGGGGTTTGAAATGTCACCCAACTCTAGATTGGAAGATGAAAATCCATATTGGTCATGACTGTTAAGAGATAAGTAGCTATCACTACATGTTGAAATGTCCTATAGTGGAAGATCATGTGCTTATGGCTGCCATAGTATTTATTTATGATATTTTTGTAAGTTCACTTCATTGACCTCCTCCATTACTTTGCTCTCCATTATGAGCAGTAATTACCCACCTCCCAGAGCTAAGCAGAAAGTCTGGCATATATTAAATGCTTTAAAATGTGTATTAAGTTAAACTAAATTAAATGAATTTGAATTGAATTAGAAGTACTGGCAGCTTCAAGGTGCTGCCCTAACAGACAAACTTCATGAAACTCCAGGTCTAGAGTAGACAATGAATTTGAAGAGTAGTTGGTCATCAGAACTGGCACACAGGATAGCACGGTGTGGGGTAGATGTTCTGTTAGTTGGGGGAAGACACTTATCAGAAACACAAAAGAAAGAATATGAAGTTGAAATTAAACTAGGACTTCACAAGAGATGAATTTTCTTTACCTTAAAGTAGGGTTCATTGAATCCCTAAACCATGGATGGAATTGACACCAGATTCTGAAGGTTTCATTGAGCCTGAGATAGAATTTGTATGGCCCCATCCTGAGAAAGAGATACAAAGTAGGATGAGAAATCAGAGAAGACATATTAGGAAACTTGTCTTTCTAGCTTTATCCCCTGGTTTTACTACTGGTAGATGGCAGCATAATTAGGATATAAACAAGAAAAGATAACTACTCTACATTTTCAAGAAGAAGTGTTTCAATACAAGGGATTAATTACATAGGTGATTAAAAAGTTAAAAGTGCAAACTGAGACAAGGAGATGACCTAGAAATTAACAAAAAAGCTGTTGCCATCCCGGGACTAAAAAGCAAAGGTAATACTGGAATTTAGAGGGTGTTGTCTAATGTCGCAAGAACCAAGCAGAAGTTGACATAAAGGCAACTCTGTCCATCAAGGCCTAGAACAGCAAGAAGATATAACTGCTTCCAGAGATGCTGCCCAAGACAGAGAGGAGCTAGTCCCCTTCTCCCATTTTAGGGTTTTCTGTTGTTGCCTTTTACCATATTCAGCAATGGGAGTCTGGGAAACACACATGTTAAGGTTTAGCACTGCTACCATACAGGAGAAAAGACTAGATCTGAGAACAAAAAGGCCAAGACTGAAGGCAGTCCAACATACTTTTAATGGCAAAAACCACAATTACATTTGCACCAACCTAATATTTGCTACTTAGATTCCATATGCTTTATCTTACATATAAATTCTTATAGAAAAGTCTTAGGCATCTGTCTATAATGAGACAATTGTCAATTCAATAGTTATCTCTTAACGGTGGTGCTGAGACAACTGGATATCCACATGCAAGAAATAAAGTTGGATCCATATATTATACTACACATAAAAAACTAATTTAAAATGACTATTAACCTGAAATTACACAATTTGTAGAAGAAAACATAGGAGTAAGTCTTTGTGCCCTTGGATTAGGTGATTTATTTTAGATATAACACTGAAGGACACAAGCAACAAAGCAAGTAGATACTTTGCTTCTATTAAGATGAAAAACTGCTTGCTGCAAAGAATATCATCAAGAAAGTGAAAAGAAAACCCCCAGAATAAAAGCAAATACTTGTAATCATAAGGGGAATTATATCCAGAATATAGAAAGACCTCTTAAAACCTAGCAATGGAAAGACAAATAACCCAATTGAAAAATGAGTAGACTTTGGGTTTCCAGTCTAGCATGTAAGGAACTTCGAAGTCACCGCTGCATTCCAACAATTAAAGAGGCAGAACAAACTGAAAAATTAACAACTCTTCTTAGGTGGGGCAGGAAAGTGAGGTCACAATGCAAAACCACTGCTATAAAATTTGGAGACACAGACAGGTGAAAACAGAGAATCAGAACTTTACAGAGCAGAAATGTAAGAGTAGTAACCTCCTTGGGAACTGGTGGTGGGGTAGGAAAACCTGAATTGTAATTGATGATTTGCTGGAGGCTTAGTGTGAACAAGTTTGAGAATTAAAAACTCTTGCGGGAAGTCTACACTTTTATGAGTTTTTACTTCCTGGAACATGACCTGGTTTTGGCAGTGAATATTGGAGAAAAATCCTCTCATTCTTCTGGTAGGAGTAAGAAAAAAGAAACCATTTTGAAATTTACCAAAACACTCTGTTCTTCTTAATAATGCCCGCCCTCAGGAGAAAGTATTTCAAAATAACCCAGTTTGCTGGGGTTTTTATTAAAGCCTAACTGGACTGGGGGAAGAAATACACCCAAATCCAGCCCTCTCTAGGCTTTATGTGGGGGAAGGGAAATTAAACACGCCTGCCCCCACTAGCCATCCTATCTTTCCAAAAGAGGAAAAAACTGAGAGGCATTGGTGATGGTCTCAGTCCAAGAGCACAAGCTCACCAAAAGACTAGATCTTAACATAAGTCTACAGAATACTTCCCCTTCCCCCTCACATTGCTACTGCATTATAAAGGTCTATTTGCCACAATTCCTTTTACGTTATGTCTGCCTTTCAACAAAAATGAAAAGGCATACTAAAGTGAAAAAAGAAGGTTTTTTGAAAAAAACTGAACAAGCATCAGAATCAGAGTTAGGTATGGAAGAAATGTTTGAATTATTAGACCAGTATTTTTTTAAAAAGGAATTATGACTACTGTGCTAAGGACTTTAATGAAAAAAGTAGACAACATGCAAGTACCTAAATAATGTAAGAAGATAAATGAAAATTCACAGTACTAGAAATCAGAGACACTGTTACAGAAATAAAGAATGCTTTAATGGGCTTATTGATAGACTGGATGTGGCTGAGGAAAGACTCTCTGGGCTTGAGGATATGACAAAAACTTTCAATACTGAAAAGCAAAGAGAAAAATGAATTAAAAAACCAAAAACAGAATATCCAATAATGGAACAACAACAGAATATATAATGTATGCATAATGAGAATACCTAAAGGAGAAGAAAAAAAGAAAGAGAAGCAATATTTGAAGCAATAATGACTCAGATTTTCCCAAAATTAATTCCCAAACCACAGATTCAGAAAATTAACAGAACACTAACAAGAATACATGCCAAAAACCTATACTTTGGCATATTACATTCAAGTTTCAGAAAATCAGAGATGAAATTTAAAATCTTCAAAAGAAATGAGAAATTACCTATAGAAACAAAGAATTATATCTGACTTCTTAGAAAACATGCAAGCAAGAAGAGAGTAAAACATTCAAAGTGTTCAGAGAAAACCCACCAACCTAGAATTTTGTACTCTGTGGCATCATCCTTCAAAAATGAAGGAGAAATAAGGCTTTCCTCAAACAAACAAAAAACGAGTTTGTTACCAGTAGAACTGCCTTGCAAGAAATGTGAACAGAAATTCTTTAGAGAGGAGAAAAATGATACAGGTCAGAAAGTGAGAGCTACATAAAGAAAGAATATCATAGAATGAATAAGTAAAGAAGAGAGAATCAAAGGGAATACTTCCTAACTCAACCTATGTGGTCAGCATTACTTTACTATCAAAAACAGACAAAGACATTAAAAGAAATATTCTCTCATAAACATAAATGGAAAAATTTTCAGCAAAATATCAGCAAATTATATCTAACAATGTATAAACAGAATTATACATCACAACCAAGTACAATTAACTAATGCAACCTATCACATCAACAGGTTAAAGATAATAAATCACATGATCATATCAATAGATGCAGAAAAACATTTCATAAAATTTAACACCTATTCATGATAAAACTCTCAGCACACTAGAAATAGATAAAACTTTTCCACTTTGACATAAAACAATTACAAAATACCTGCAAATAACAACATACCTAATGACAAAAAACTAGAGACTTTCCAGCTAACATCAAGAATAAGGCAAGAATATCCTTTTACCATACTTTCAGCTGTTCTAGAAGTCCTAGTTAATGCTATAAGACATGAAAAGGAATTTAAAATTATACAAACTAGGAAGAAATAAATAAAATCATTTTTGTTCACAAACGACATAATCATCTATGTGGAAAATCTGAAAGAATGAACGAAAAACTTCCAGGAACTAATAGGTGATTAAAATAAGATCACAAGATATGTGGTTAATATACAAAAGTCGATCATTTTTGTATATACCAGGAATGAACAAGTATAATTTGAAGTTAAGAACACTTTACCATTTCCAATAGCACCTGGAAAATAAAATATTTAGATATTAATCTAATAAAATAAAGATCATCTGAGGAGAACTATAAAAATCTGATGAAAATATTTTTTAAAAACTAATAGAGACATAGCCTGTATTGATGGGCAAGAAGATCTAATGCTGTCAAAATGTCAGTTCTTCTCATCTTGTATAGATTTGATGCCATCCTAATTAAAATTCCAGCAAGTTATTTTTGTGAATATCAGTAAACTGATTCTAAAATTTATATGAAGGAGCAAAAGACCCAGAAAAACCAATTGAAGAAGAACAAAGTTGGAGGACTGACGCTACTTCACTTTAGGACTTACTATAATTCTACGGTAAACAAGACAATGTAACATTGGCAAAAAAAAAAAAAAAAAAAAAGACAAACAGATCAACAGAACAAAATAGAGATCACATAAATAAATCAACATAAATATAGTCAACTGATATTTGACAAAGGAACAAAAGTAGCACAACTGAACAAATATATTCCTTTCAACAAATGGTGTGGAAACACCTAGATATGGTATGCACATGAATAAAGAAGTGAATCTAGACACAGACATTACATCCTTCACCAAAATTAATTCAAAACTGTGTTAAATGCAAAACTATACAACTTCTAAAAGGTAACAGAAGAAAACCTAGAAGATCTTTTCTATGGGGATGACTTCTTAGAACAACAAAGGCAGATCAACAAAAGAAATAATTGATAAGCTGGACTTCATTAAAATTAAAACCTTCTTGTCTGCAAAAGATAATGTCAAGACAATGAGAAGACAAGCCACAGACTGGGAGAAAGTATGTGCAAAAGATAAATTTGATAAAGGACCATTATCCAAAATATACAAAGAACACTTGGAACTCAACAAGGAGAAAATGAACAAGCCCATTTTAAGATGGGCAAAACACCTGAGCAGACACCTCACCAAAGATATACAAATGGCAAGTAAGCATATGAACAGATGTTCAATATCATATGTCATTAGGGAATTGCAAATTGAAACCACAAGGAGATACCTCTGCAAATCTATTAGAATGTCCAAAATTCAAACCACTGACAACACCAAATGCTATTGAGGATGTAGAGAAACAAGAATTCTCAGTCATTGCTGGTGGGAATGAAAAGTGTATAAAACTGTAGAAGTCAGTTTGGTAATTTCTTACAAAACTAAAGATACTTTTACCCTAAGATGCAGCAATTGTGCTCTTTGGTACTTACCTAAATGAAGCAAAAAGCTATTTCCACACAAAAATCTGCACCTGGATGTTTATAACAGCTACATTTGTGATTGCCAAAACTTGGATGCAACGAAGATGCTGTACAGTTGGTGAGTGGATAAACTATGGTACATACAAACTATAGTACACACAAACAGAATACTATTCAGTGCTA